GGGGTGAGTCATTGCCGCTAGCATTGCGCACAGCTCACTAGGCTTTCCTGGTTTGAGCACTCCGGCATGGCTTAGACGATACCACAAATGTGGGATCGTTCGGGGTAACCATATCGGTTCTCCCCCATCCTAACATAAGCACTGCACTGATGAGGCCTGAAAGGCCGAAACAGTACTGTCTGGCGCCAGTTCGCCGTGATCGATCAATGCGCGGGCTGTGGCGAGCGGGAAACGATCTCTCATGCTTTCTGCTCGTGCCGCCTCGTGTCTCCTGTGTGGAACTGGATGTCAAATCTGATAAATCAGTTTCATGATCAACCTCTTTTACTTTCCGAATCTATTATTTTATTACGCCAAGGACTGCCCCAAGGTTCCTCTTGGGAGCATTCAAATGCCATCACCTCCTTTCTAATAAAAGTCACCCTAAATGAGCTGTGGGCCGCCCGGAACCTCGACACTTTCGAATCTAAAGGGCCATCCGCTCAAACCATCATCTCTAAAATTAAGACCCGCATTCGCCAACGCATAACAGCCGCCTTTCACATTGCACCTCGCGTCATCTTAACCACTTTCTGGGCTTACCGGAATGTCCTGTGCTCCTTTGCGAATCAGCAACTTGTAATAAAGATTTAAACCCCCCCCCCTCCTACAAGCCCCTTCGTCGGATCTCCTTAATTGGTGTTCTGTGCAGAGGCTCCCCCCCCCCCACCAGTAAGTAGTGTAAAGAATATGAACCTTTCCTGAACAACTGGCACTTGCGCCTTTCATGTGATCCAACTCGTCCACAAGCCACGAACAATGAACCCCTAGTAATACTTTAGTTCCCCAATGCGCCGCACTGCACAGCGGTATTCACCTTCAAATGTTCAGTTATTTACGATCAAATGTAATTTCCCCTGATTTGTTGTGATCCCAATCACCGTATCTAAATTATCCAATTATTATAGTCAATCATTGTAAGTAATCAACTACCTCTGTAAATAAAACATTGATTAAAAAAAAAAAACTACTACTTGCAGTTAGTTATATATACATATGTATATGTAAGTGCATTTTTAACAACTTTAACACAGGTAAATTTTGTTTTCAGCGACAAACACGTCGCAAACCAGAAACATTCATTATGATAATCGTTAACGACATTTTCCATTTTCAAACTCTATAACAATTACAAAATGTTGAACACGCATTTGCACACAAAGAACAATTTTCCTTTCAATGGCGTCCACACAATGCACAATTTTTTCCTGAATATAGTACTTAAGAATGGAAGAGTTCAATTTAACATTTGACGAAAGTAAACACCTCACGTGGAGGAAAGAGCAGAAAATGGCCCGCGCGCACATTTTCTAGAACCTGATAAATTTGTCTCAAGATAATAGACAAATTTATCACTCTACCCACGTCATTCGATGCTAGTGAGAGAAAAAAAAAATCCAACTCTTTTCTCAGTTGTGAAAGTTACAGGATTGAAGGTTACAAAAAAATACAAAAGTTATATACGACCTGAGTAGGATATCAAGTTGTTACCAATAGGAAATTTCTTAGCCAAAAAAATACACATGAAGATATGTTGCTATTGACAACATGTTTTTAATTCACTCGAATGTTTATAATTCTTATTTTAATAATACTTAGTTTATGAGAAGAAAAAATCTAAACAAATGGAAACAATTTCCATATTTCCTCCCCTGACCCGATAAAGAATATCTCGCTATTAACATCTGAAATTTTAAGAATTTTGATAATTTCGTCATGTGTGTGTATTCCTGTGTAAACGTCCCCCGGGCATCAAAATTGTTTATCTTATCTCCTGGCTGAGACTTCGGTGCAAATTCTTTTAGCATCTGGAATTCCACTCATACTTTTGTAATTTATCTAACTAATTACAGTGTTTTCTTAGAAAAAACCGTGTGCCGAGCGCTTAATGTGAATTAGTCTAAAACAGTTCAGCGAAAAACCACTCTAAAACAGTTCAAAAGGCGAGGAAGCAGCCAAGCGTTGTTTGTTTGTTTCCTTGTTAGTTTACCACAAAGTTGCACAGCAACCAAGCAGAGTACCTGCGTCACGACTATTTGTGAAATCAATAACCTTGACGTAAACACGTGTTAATTTTTCCATAGTCAAAGTCTTAAGCAAATTATTGGTGCAAAACCGCGTCAAAATGGACATAATTTAAAGCCAATATCTATTTTAAAGCAGTCTAGAGAGAATTTTCTTCAACTCTGGTTGGTGTGATAACGTTTCCTTGAAAAGCAATTGCCTTACTCTGACCCTAAAACCAAAAGAAAACAACAACAACAACATTAAAAAAAATTATATTTTTTGAAAAATCTGACCTCAAGTTGAGGGTTATGAAACGTAACCAACCTTTCCTTCGGGCAAACTAACAAGGTCCCAGATCCTCGCAAATCCGTCAGCAGAGCAGGAGACAACCCTGTGCGGTGCAGCCTGGGAATAAAGTTGTCAAAGTTATGGCGGCCCTTGAAAGTGAAGTGAAAGAGGTTTGTACTCAACACACAGAGCACAATTAAAGGAGCATAATCCTACCTTAACACAGAACACAGGCCCTTTGTGTCCCTGTAACGATCGTAGACACGTACAAGTACTTACGTCCCACTCCTTCAATAAATGATCCCTGCGATTTAAAACAGAAAAAACCCACAAAAACCACAATACTTTCAATTGTAACCTTTTGGACCTCGGAGCGCTATTCAGTTCCAACATAAGTATCTTGGAGGACTTTTTGGTTCAGCCTTTTCTAGTATGTACATCTTGTAAAGGAAATCATGCATGTATATTTTTAAAAGGATTCAAGGAAAACAATAATCCTCGCAAATGTGCTGTGAGCTTTAAGCAACTGCAGAAGAGAGGCCTAAAAAATATTAAGGAGTGTTGCTGGCTCAAACTCTATAACGAAACGAACCACTTTGAGATCCAAACAGAGACAATATTGATAACAAAGCTAATAAATCGCCAACATGAATTGGTAAGTGATGACGAAAGATCTTGGCTCAAAGTCTCGGTGAGAGCGGGTCTGTTTTCTCAAATTCAAAAAGGCTGTGCGAATCGACAATCCATAAAAAGAAGTGCGAGAGTTTTCTATATTAGAGAAGAAGCGTTCTTGGTTAGTATTAGCTAAAATCGTAACAATTACATACAATCAAGCGCGCGAACTAAACTAAAATCAAGTGAGAGGGATAACTTATCCATTTCGTTCAAATGATGACATCCCCCAAACCTAGCTTGTAAAAATTGGTTTGGCCTTATCTGGCGCCATTACTTCAATATTTTTATTTGCGCTATCTGAGAAGAGTTACAGGAGACTTTCTCGCAAGAAAATGAAATGATCCAGGAAAAAATTCAAGAAGTCTTACCCTCCCGATGAGAAGAAATGTTGATGACCATTGTAATCCAGAGAGTGGACTGGGCCCTCGTGACCCTGAATGGCAGCTTCACAGTTTCCCGTTTCCAGGTTCCAGAACATTATCATGCCGTCCGCTGACCCACTGATCACTAGCTTACCAAGCACCTTTCCAAAGAAAAAGAAACAAAAAAGAAAAACATAAAAAGACAGATTTAGATATTTTACTGGCAATTTAGTTCTACAAAATGTTAGGACTCAAACCAATCGCAACTTCGTAACCCGCGTACCCGCGTTTTCCAGCGCTTTTGCTAGTTGGCCTGTTTTTACTCTGCATTCTCATTGACCAGTCGCGATAATTTCCTTTGTTCTAATTGGTTGTTGTCCTTTTTATGACACTCATTCCAAAACAGCTGTAAGAAGTAACGAGTTCATCACTTCTAAGAGCTACCGAGTTGAGAGATCTTACCGTTGCAGCCAGAACAGCGTCTCTATGTCCTTCCAATGTATGAAGACACTCTCTTGTCTTTATGTCCCACAATTTTAACGTCCTACAAAGCGGGTGAAGAAAAAAACGCAACCAAAATTCGGCATTAGAGTCTTCAGTTAAAAAAACCATGCAGGTACGAATGATTTTCTGTAATATTCAAATAGCGGTTAGCATTTGGTGATGTATTAGAACCCTATCAAGAGCAAACTAAGCACAACAACAGTTTGGCCGACAGAACTTTTCTTTCCCTTTCCGCTTGATTCGAGCTTTTCTGCAGTTTCCGCTAGACGCAAGTTTTCCCGCGCTAACCGCTTGATGCAGTTTTCCCGCGCTAACCGCTTGTAGCAGGTTGCCAGCGCTTACCGGCTGTAGCTGGTTTCCCGCACTAACCGCTTATTGCAGGTTTTCTCACGCTAACCGTTTATTGCAGTTTTCCCGCGTTTACCGTTTGTTGCAGGTCTCCTGCACTTACCGTTTGTTACATATTTCCCGCCCCTACCGCCCCAAAAATCGTTCACAGATATATTTATTTTCCTTACCTATCAGTGGAACCGCTGACAAGGTAATCTCCATTTAGCTGAAGACACGTAACAGCTCCTAGGAATTCACAGATTAAGTGCATTCACTGTTAGCAAAGTATACAGACTGAAAGTTGCCAATTAGAGCTGGCAGCTGGCCAAAACCACAGGCTACTCTGTCATGCTGGTCAATTATTTTCACTTTAATTTATCTTAAGGGCAACAAAACCAATTTCTAGGACGGCCATTTCCCACTTTCGAGTGAAATTGAATGTACAGTTTACCGGTGACAGGCTCAAATGTGTGAATCAATTCTACATTCAGAATTTTTTCAAAGGTTTGTGCGCGCTTTGTAAAACGCCTGGGATACTTCAACTTAATAGTTCCCACTGATGCACGTAATCTAACGAAACAACATGGCGTCCACGATAAACTAGCCGCCGACCATTTCTTCTTTGCCTCGCTTTCAAACTTACTGACATCCTAGCCGAACACATAGAGCTTAACCTCTGCGCCACTGACCAATAAACAACTGATATTAATCCTTGTACCTTCGTGTCCTTCAATTACGGATTCGCATTCCCATGTGTCTGTGCTCCAAATGCGGAGGGTACGGTCATGTGACCCACTCACTCTGAAAGGAAAATATAGCAATGTTTGAGCGTTAAAGGTAACTTTTGATTGCCTTGGTTTCACTCGATAACATGCAAAGGAAAGGCAATAGTTTTATTTTTTTTGTTCTACTTCACTTATTCACTTACAGGATTTTTCCATTAAACTGCAAGCTGGAAACGCATCCAGAATGCCCATAGAGTACTTTCAATCTGTGGAACTTAACAATGTGCCAAACCTAAAATCATAAAACTCAACTGTTAGTAAAAGAGCCCAAAAAATTAACGCTTGGTTTCCGCAAGATCGGAGGATTAAATGTAAACAAAAGGACAAAACTTCGGCGACTGAATTAACCGATCTCGCGAATGGGTCCCCCTCGCTTCCCTGCGCTTGAGGCACTGACTTTTTTGTGTTGGTTTATTTGTCTTTTTCCTTTTTTTCCAAATTGACCTCTCGTAAGCTTTTTTCGATATTTGTCTCTGTTGCTATTGGCTGATTTAACGACACCTATCGCAAATCACGGAGTCAGAGTTATTACACCCAACGGTACAAATCAGAAAACGGATCTCCCAGGCTTGATTAAAAAGATTTTCTGGAGTCTCAATAGGTAAAAAAGAATTGATAACTCAAGAAGACACAAACCATGATGGTCATATCCCACGAGCCGCTGATGATTTTTTCATCGTCAAACTGCAGACATCGCACTCCACCCTAAAACCAAATAACAAAGTGCAGGGTTTTCAATAAAAGCCAGTTATCGGGACAGAGCTGAATAACGTATGCGCATGTGCTGTTTTGGCGCGGAAAACGGATTTTGAGTCGTTCGCATGGTTCACATTCTATTCTGTTGCTTCGAGGCGTTGTTTTCCTTGCCGTTTTTCTTTTACAGAACAACAGCGCGCACTCTAATGGGTCAATTCAGTGTCCACCATTTGCCCAGGGGTGTACGCTGCTGACGTGAGCAAATACAAAGACTAATCTCCGCACTCCGCATCGTACCAAAAGAAAACTCTTTTGGTACGATGTATTAATGTACGCTGCTGACGTGAGCAAATGCAAACACTATTTTTCCGGGCGCACTTGTTTTTTCTGGTCACGTAAGATTTGTTAAATAAAAGAGAACTCTTTTGCTACAATGCATCAAAGCTATGATATAAAACAAATGGTAAACACCAAAGCGTACACTATAGAGTTATGAATGCACTTAGGAGGTTTGCTAAGCACTCAAGAAGCAAGAGTCGCTCTCGGCAACCACCTCGTGCGACTCTTACGCTTCTTTCTTTATCATTTGTTAATGAGAATACACAAGGAGATAAGCGGGAGGTTGTTAGATGTACTTTGACAAAAAACCAAATTCTCTCAACTTATTTGAAAGGAATTCTGTAGCAGCAAGGAGGAAGAATGCTAAAATTACAAATACGTCTTCAAAGTCTCCATTTATGGCAGGCCAAATCAGTTGAACATTTACAAAGTGCAACAGAGGAGTTAAAATCGGAACTACCAGGAAAAAAAATCCAATTAGTTACAATGCGAAGGTGTTAACCCGAATCCTCTTGATTTCAAATCTAGCGCTGTAAAACACTTGTGTCCATGCCGCCAACCAAGAAACAAGGATATGTTGCGGTTAAAGAAAGCTTTCCCTTACGATCCATAATAGTCACCAATAGTCAATAATAGTCACAAAACAACAGTCACAGTCGTATCTTCCCAACTGATGAGAGAATAATACCTTGTGGCCTTTTAGCTTGTGAATACCTCGCCCGCTTCTCACATCCCATACTCTAAAAATGGAGAGAAAATCATAACTAAGATCACTTTTAAGGAAAGAATAAATAACACGCAACCTAATCTGACTATTATCCTTAAACGTTCTCTTGAAATACATCTGAAATAAATGAATTTCATTATTCAAGCAAAAAAACTTTGCCAGACTTTAATAATGCTTGAAGAACCCGTTTGAGCCCACCGTATTGTGCGGTCTGCAGAGCCGGTAATAATCCTTGTTTTGTCGAACTGTAAGCAGAGTATGGCGTCCATATGTCCCTAAAGAATACAAAACGAAGGAAGCGAGACGGAATACAATGTTTGGTTTTAAACAGATGACTTGTAACGGAGATTCTTGGGTATTTAAAAAAAGCGTTATGGCTAACGTTCTTCTCACCTGCAATCTCCGTACTCTTCGGACAGCTAAAACACCTTGAACTGCAAGTGAGAGATAACGAAATTTATGCCTGCCTCTTTCTCCATCACTTTCCTGTCAGATAAACAAAAACACGATTTTAGCTTGCAAGCAGGCCTCCATTATTAGCCCTGCAGGGCACACGTTCCTTCGCCCGCGGGAAGATTGGAGACAAGTCGAGGAGAGGTTTTACCGGACGCCTGGTACCAACAGACCTCTGGCCGACTCGCTTTGCTCAATCCCGTTTGTCCTAAACATACGGTAGACACTGAAAAAAAGTGGTAAGTTTCTAAAGAAACTGTGGTGCAGGGTCGGTGGGAGTAATTTTGGTTCTATCAATTGAGTTGATAAATGTAAACTGGCCACTGCAAAGAGTTTCGAAAGCTGACGTTTCGAGCGTTAGCCCTTCGTCTGAGCGAATTATATATTACACATTGCCTTGAACCATAGTTAGTAGAGGGGTCCCCTCTACTTACTATTCTTGAACTTACCAATAAGTTAGATGCTTGCACAAGAATAGGCCGTACATCCAATGCAACTTCCAAATCTTCAGATTTCTCTCCGCCATCCTGAGCCAGTGCCTTCAAACTGCGTGTCAGGAGCTTGAGGTTGCCACCTGTGAGATCATTTCCATCAAAGTCTGCTGCTGCTGCAAACTCGTCACCATGCTCCTTTTGATCAGCAGCCGGGGCAGACTGAGCGGGTCCAATGTCCTCCATCATTTGAGATATCAAAAGTTCAGCTGGTAAAGGAAAGGAATCAATATGAACTCCAAGTGCAAAACGGCAGAAAATCAGTTTTTTCAAACAAAGATACTTACAGTGTTAACTTTTTTAAAGCCTAAAAATCTGGTGCTATTTACATAGCTTATCTCGGTTTCCATGAAGCATAAAGCAAGAAGGAGTATTCCAACTCCCCCTGGATGGGATGCTGGTACAACGGAAATTTACCCTCCAGAGTTTCATCGGCTTTCCCTGACAATTCCTCAGAACTCATTTACACTCCAGGGGGGAGAGAAGCACTGTGAGAGTAAAGCATTTTCCCCAAGAACATGACACATTGATCTAGAACCCAGACCCCTTGACCCAGAGTCCATTGCCCTGCCCATTGGGTCACTGCTCTTCTATATTTACATAACTGACCTGTAAAAAACACATCACTTACCAACATCACTCTGCACTTTCTTTAACTCATCTTTGTCAATGGGCTCGGGTGGCAATTCTGATGACAAAAGAACATATGCAACCATTGAAAAACTGATATTGAATTATTGCCAACTGAGTGATATCAAGGTATCATAACGCATACAAATATATTTCATTGTCACTAGTTTCTATCACTGGAAAAATCTTCACTAGTCTGATGATTCTTGTTATCCATCAAATACATTGTATGTTACCCTTGTATGACATTGGACTAAGCCTACCACCTGACCCCATAATTGTTCCAAGCAAACCCTGGGGAATATCCATTGTTAGTATATACCACATAGGTCAATACATATATCTTATTAACCAAGCTTGAGGGCCATACTGGGAGAATATCGGCCCGAGGTCTTGACAGTATGGACCGAGCGCAGCGAGGTCCGTACAAAAAAGACCGAGGGCCGATATTCTTCCAGTACGGTCCCGACAAAGCTTGGTTAATAAGAGATTTATTATACGACTGAAGTTCAAAGGGACACAAGTGTGGTATCATTCGGGACCATTCGGGACAGTGCCTGGTCCAATACTTAGAGAATATTGGACAGGCAATAGAGCATTTCGATTGGTTGATTTTAGTTATTGGCCCTCTGACTGCCCGAGTCGTGTAATAATGCTTCCTTCACACACTGATTAGCTAGTTGAGAAGTAAATACCGTAACTTCTCTAATAAGCCCCCCAGGGGGACTTATGTATTTCAGGTACTTTGGGGGGGTGGCTCATTAGAGGGGGGTAGTTATTAATTTAGCCCAATGTTGACTTACCGGGATACAATAGGATATGATGTGCCGTATTTATTCAAAAATTGTTCTCATTTTACACTTTTTCATTTACCAAATTGGCAGAGTCAAAATCTTCAGTTAAGTCTGATGTTAAGTCTGTATACCGTATTCAACAACATGATAAAATCACTCAATCAATCACCATAATCAATTTTAAATGACAAATTAACATTACAGTACTTGAATAAATCTATGATCATACTTACAGACATGGAGTGTTATTTTGAATTTTTGTTTGCAGAATGGGAGGGGGGGGGGCCCAAATAGAGGGTAAGGCTTAATAAATTTATTCCTCTAAAGAAGGGGGGGACTTGATAGAGGATTTATAGTGGCAATTACTTTTCATCTCAGTTAAGCAACTGATGAGACAAAATCTCATGTCAAGAGTTTAATTTCTGACCATTTTTTGATATATTGTAAGAAAGAAACCAAGCTTTTGGTATCTGGCTGGTATATACTAAAACAATTATTTCACCTCAGTGTTGTTAAGGTGGCAGATATTCACCTCTACTTTGGTGAATAATTGTTAACTAAATATGTGACACAAGTCAGTTGTGCTTTTTGTGCACACTGACTAGCTAGTTCAGAAGTTATTATGCAACTACCAGTACTAAACCTCTGCATAGCAGCTGCAGGGAAAAAATCGTGTGTCAAGAGTTTAAATTTGTAAATTATCCAGGCACAGCAAAAAACACTAGAAAGATGATAAACATGCTTTAAAATATGCTCACATATATTTCCTTGACACTATATTTATTGACACTGACAGTTTCCCTTTCCTTTTCCTATGATTTCCTCTCCAAAAGGTCAGAGATATGTTTAACATGTCTCTGATTACCACTACTACATAAGTAGGGTTCATTACTGCCAGGATTGCTTTCTAAACTCTTACATTTCATGAAATCGCAGTACACATAAGATGATTTTCGTATTCAAATTCATTAATGTCTCTAACTTTTTAAAACTGCATGTTGTCTCCTGATCTTTACTTTTAAGCCTCCCTTTTCATTAAACAGTCTCAGATAGATCTATAGCAAATGGTTTGAAATATTTAAAATAAATATACCAGTTACTCTTGACTGCTTCTTTTCCTCCTGTCCGGCAGCTTCTAACTTCTCTTTAAACTCTGTGGCAGAAATGTAACATTCCACTTTTCATAATTGATATTTTGTAACATTTCACCTACCTCGATATAAAGGCAATCTGTTGGAATTAAGTCAGTCTAGGTTGCTATTTGATGGCGGGGGAAATTCATATATCCTCCCCAGAAGCGAAATAAAGCACCCACAGCAAAGACATCAATAGTTATTGGCAAATTTGGTAATACTTTCTGCTTATGAAAATAACAAAACTATTGAGAGTAAAAAAATATTTTGGCTCATCATCACCTTCACGTTCTTTTTACTGACCCACCTGACTTAGACAAATTCAACTGTTTAACAACTGTCATGATAACTCCAAACTTTGGAAATCTTTTAACTAATCATAAGGCTATATCAATAGACCAATTTTGATATATTTCAACGTGACAGACTGGTGACGAAACTCCAACACCAAAGCGAGGCTCCGGAGAATACGGCGCGAATAATAAAAACAAATACACCACTACAAACACTGCAAGGATAGCCATGTGCGATTGATAAATAGGGTATATTCTCGGTTTTTTTTTTCATCCATTGCTGTTCATCTTCGTGTGTAGCATGGTAAAGTATTGTGTTGTTGTGCTTTGCCGCAATGGGAGTAAGAAAAGATCGGATCTCAGTTATTTTTGCTTTCCTACAAGACCCAATGAGCGTAAGAAGTGGGAAGTTTTCTGTAAGCGAGCAGATAAAAAATTCAAGGCACTGGGTGATCCACGAATCTGTTCCTTGCATTTTAAGGAAAGCGACAGCGAGATTTCAAGTTCTGGTAGAAATAGTGTACATTCAGACTGCTATCCGACTATCTTTGATCCAACGAAATCTACTAATACTGTGAGTTCATGTTCAAAACGTCTTGCCGATAGGAAGGCACAGTGTGATGAACAACCGCAAGCCAAGAAAGTTTGTCCCAGAAAGCTCTATGAGGACTCCAATGAGACTTGCGTGGATTTTAGTGCTGATGCAATTTCAGTAAACCATGATCACTCGTACTTTTGCAGCCAGGAACAAGCAACACCGAAATATAACTCGAACAGTTCTGATACTATGCTTGCGAAAGGCAAATATTCTACGGCATGTCAAACAGACTTGACAGCTGATGAAATAGACTACTTGGTAACTGACCTGGAAGAGTGCAGGAGGGAGGAGATAGTTGCATATATCTGGGAAGGTGACTTCTGGAAATATCGAGAGGTTCCTACTCCAGTTTGATTTCAATATGGATGCAGGGTCTGGCAAAACACCCTCATCTGTGGCAAGTAATTCGGCCATGATATGATTTTCATTTTCACTTTCCCCTTCAGTCACTTTCGGGAGCTTCATTGAATGAGCATTAAACGAAAGCTCAACCAACTCGGCCTTTCTTCTACACTTTCCTTCTGAGGATGTTTGTATCCCTCTTCCTTGAAGGAAGGTTCGCAACCACGGCAACTTTTGATGCTGAAAGTATTGTAGATTGATCTCACCTTTTTTTTCCGACGTGGCCATGACAACAATGATTACTTCGATTTACTTTCAACTCGAAGAAACTACGAATTTACACTAGAAAAACGATAATAACCCAAGAAAGCAGTTTCTGCTCGAAGATGTGAGCAACCAAAGCTCCATTCGAATGAATTTTGTTCCCCGGAGCCTCGCTTGGGTGTTCAAGTTTCGCTACCAGTCTCTCACGTTGAAATATATCGAAATTGGTCTATTAGATTTTATATTATGACTCACCTTCCTCATCCTCTTCCTCTAATTTCACCGAGGCTAGATCCTTGTAGTAATTTTGTACTTCTCTATAAGCTTGTTTCCAATCCACAGCGTGACCATGACCAAGGACTTCAATCTTTTCAGTTAAGTTTGAAATTCCTTCAGAGGCCCCTGAACGCAGAGATAGTGATGGTAAAAAAAAACAACTAATTATTATTATAACCCTTACGAAAACAAACCTATTTTATTTCTATTTAATGTCTATTTTAATGCTATCACCTCTATTTTTATACAATTTTATTTTCTCAGACTTATATTTTATTCCTATTTTACCTGAAAGGGAAAATAGAGCCACTATTTTAACCATATTTTAAGGCAAGGTTGAACAAGGTGGTGTATTTTTTTTTTTCTTAAAATGAACGGAAAAATAACCAGCTAAACAGACTATTTTAATCATATTTATTTTCTACATCAGTAAAATAGTGATCAAATAGTCTGTTTTATTTCTGTTTTCTGCTGATAGGACATGCTAAAGCCATTTCCTTTGAAAAATATGAAAAAAATAGGCTATCACAACCCTATTTTATCAAAGAAAATGTTGAATAATTGCAAAATAGATATAGAATAGACTGTTTTATTTCTATTTTTTGAAGTGGATTCTAATCCATTGAAAAATAGGTATTAAATAGTCTATTTTAATTCTATTTTCTTCAAAGTAACACAGACCCACAATATTTTAAACAGCAACTAGGTGTGAAGTGTAATAACCTGTCCTGTTTTATACCTATTTTATTTTTGAATTCAAGCTTGACTAACATACAGTACTCTAAAGTCACAGTTTCTGTGTTGACAAGATAAAGATGAGTTCAAATTTGAAAACATTGGGTAGAAGTTTTCAAGTTTCGCGGTCATAAAAATCTCTACACAGATTCTTTAAAACTGAAACCACTAAATTTAAATTTATAACCCCAAACACAACATTATGCTTACCCAGTGAAGCAATTTTAGCTTTCCAAAGTCTGCTGTCATTTGTTAAGAATCTCCAACGATAACAAACCTTAAGAAAAGGAATCACAAACTAGATTTATTTAGTTGTTGCCATTAAAACACATGATGATAGAAGGTTTGTTTAGGAAGTGCCACATGCCTAATAGAAAAAAAAAAACTTGCAAACACAAAGAAAAGGGAAAAAATAAAGTTTAAATGCACTCTTCCTTACATGTATATACCCTCTACCTTAAACCTTTACACCCCACGATCAGTACACATATTCTCCATACTGTTCTCTATACATTTCCTAAGGATCTGACAAGGAGAATCTGTTTAATAATCAAGAGCTTCAGCCTTTAGTTGGAGCTGGAGATCGTTTTCTTAATTCTTCTTGCCCTTTTTATGATAGAAGGAGTGATATTGTAAGGAGAAATTAGATGCTATTCAGTCTCTGGGGGTTAAAGGGATCAGTAGAGGAAAACCATTGGCAATTAGAGTAGTCCAGCAAATAAAAATTTTCTGATTAAAATCTTCTTGATTGACTGCAATTTTTCAAATTAATTTTTTTTTTCATTCTTCTTTTTCTGGATACGGATCATAATGAATAAGAAATTTTAAAGCCAAGAAATAAAGAAATATTCATTTGGTAAAAGTTCAGACAACAAAAGCAAAAATTATAATGAATTAACTAAAATTTTCAAATGATTAAATTTCTTACCTGAGAACTTTGACACAAGCTTCTAACATTTAAAAAAGAAAAGACATAGAGCAGGACATTGTCTGGGACACAGTTTAGATCTGTTGTATCTCTGAGTCTGAAATGATCATAATAAAGATTGATGGGTATTTTACATCAGTATTTATTTATTTAGCATTATAGTGGCTTCACCTATGTGGAGTAACAATTACATACCAAGTTTCTTTCACATGAATTGTCTCAAATACAATGTATTAAATAATTTGCAGGATACAAAATAATCACCATCCATCCTAAGATATTTTTTTTCTTGAATAAAAGGTATAGGTTTGGATAAGCATGAGTGAAAAGGTCTGCTCACCAAATGCAAATTACCCAAAATATGAACCCCTTGTGACTTGATTTCTACTAAGCAAGCAACCACCTCCTGTGAGCCACCACCTAGAATTGACATTTCATGTGGTCGCTTATTGGAGGTTCAACTCTAATTTTTCAATGCTTTTGTGTAAAAGATAGATGCTTTTTTCATTCTTTTTATGTAAAAGATAGAAGCCTTTTTTTGTCGTCCCTTACCTCTGGGTTAGACACTGTGCGAAGAAATTTAGAGATTCTTCATCACAGCACTTCACCACCTCTGATAATAGCTCTAATCTCTTATAAGTTGGCCATTCATCCAGCCACTGGCCAGGAACAAAATAATAATCAATTAATTCATTAGAAGAATTCAGCTACTGTGGTGATAATAAGTACTTAAAACCACATAATGTAGGATTAGTAATGACAATGCAGTACTTACATGTACTATCAATGACATCCGAGCCCAGTTGTATAAAGGGCAGATATAGCACTATCCAACAAACAAATGGCTATCCAGTCAATAACCAATAGCAAAACAAACTGGGCAATCCACTAGAGAAAGATTTACCCAGTGGTAAGCATTATCCGACCTTCAAACAACCAGGGCCTTCAAAGTAAACCTTCCCAAAGCAGTTTTAGGAGATAAAATTTGCTTAAAATTTATCAAGATTGTAATTTTAATGTACAGGTAAGAACAAGAAAGAAAGATTGAAAATTTGAGTTGTGTCAAAAAATGAAGAGGGCTGATATGAAGTGGAAATAAGTGCCATAATATCCAAAAAAATGAATTGAAACAAACTTGTACAGGACCACTTTTAAGGAAGCATGCACACTTTGCCACAATACCCCATTCCATTTTTTGTTGTTGCAAAATCACTGAAAATTATTAGTTCATATTAACCAAGCAGGAGGTCTGTAAGGGAGAATCTTGACCAAGGTCACCAGTACAGACCGAACGCAGTGAGGTCTGTACCAGCGACCGAGGTCTAAATTCTCCCATACAGACCGACCTAGCTCCCTTAATAAGATGTCTATTATATGGCTGTGTCTTATATGCCAATTTTTTATATTCTTTGTACCTTTTTTTTCTAGACTGGTCCAGATGCCGGTCTACATGGGAAAATCTAGACTGCTTTCAATATTGATTTCAGCCAATCAAATTCGTGAATTACACAGTTCTCAGTCCTTGTGAGACTTAGCCATATAATAAGGTGCAATATTGTACAGGGGGGGGGGGGAGGGGAAGAAGTAAGGATATTAAGGATAAAACTGGTATGTTGTTCCAGGATATTGGAATTTTAATGGTAATGTTGCATTGGTGAGAGTAACAAGGTAATTTTGGTTTTATCAACTGAGTTGATAAATGTAAATTGTAAAGAGTTTCAAAGCTGATGTTTCTAGCATTAGCTATTCATGAGAGCAAATGACAAAGGGCTGATGCTAGAAACATCAAGATTACATAGGTATTCTGCAGTTGGACCCAGGTATGTAGTACCTGATGAATCTGACTGAGTTGAGATTTAAAATGATTTGAAAGTTTGCTCCTTCTTGGCTTGATCAGATGGCCTCCTTTGTAGCCTTTCCACCATTTATCGTGTTTGAATGTAACTGGTGCATGCCCGTAGAGCTTATTTTTATCTCCAGTCTTTGGGGTGGTTCTCATGTGGCCAAGCTGTTTATGATTGAAGTGTGGGAAAAAATTTGGTGTACTAACTCTCCTTATAAATGGTGGGGCGTGTTCATGCCGGTGGTTTTCTTCCATGCCAGCAGCTGGTTTTATAGAATGAGTTGTAGCTGTCAAAGCTGTACCCCCATCAGGGCTGTGAGGGGAATCAACACTCCCCTCAGGGATCCCCACGGTCCTATGGTCTGCGGTAAGATTCATACTACTATTCTGATCATGAAATCCTCCTGATTCGCTCTGAAAACTGTCAACATCCTTGTCTTTGAGTTTATCTTCCTCGCCAACCGTGGTTAAAGAATTCACCCGATCTACTTCCTGCGATGGCTGAAGGGCATTTTTCAATTCTTCTGCGCTAAAGCTTGGAGCAGGGCCTGTGTGAACCAATCGCGCCTGAATACGAGCAGTTGGATAAATCCCTTTCAGCCGAGTCGTAAAATCCCTGTGAAACACTGGCTCAAGCGTCGTCACAAACGCCTGTAATTGACCTTTCGTACACTTTTCAGAGACGCCGCACAATAGGATCCGTTGTTGCCACGACCTCCAGTCTGTAAACCACTCGCAAACTTTTTTGCATATCTGCTTGTGAGAGAACAAGCTACTCACTAATTGCAAGTCAACAGTGCTGAGTTCCAAGCTTGGGAGTACTAAAGGTCTTTGGAGATTTTTTAATCCTACCCGTTTAGTCTTCTTTTCCTGTTTGCAAGCGCTGGCTTTCACATTCGGTAGAAAACTTAGCTCATCCCTTCCGTCCGCCATTTTGGCGTCGACAGTCTCTGTTAGGTTTCTCTGTGGCGTTCCTCGGCAACAGGAAAGGATTAAACCGCGCTCATACCCAGTTCTCATATCGTCTCCAGACCTCTGTTTTGCAGGCATGAGTCCAAATTCTAAGACATTAATTAAAAAGATTAATTTGTTAATAGCGAGAATATTAACTTAATTACAGGAGTTTCACTGGGTACCGAGAAATTTCTGAAAGATTGTTTATTAAGTAGTTAATTTGGTTAGGCAGGGGACGTTAAAGAACCCACTCACAAGATTACCGTGATGTGGTCTGGCCTGTTTACTGGGAATTGGG